GAAAAAAAAAAAAAAAAAAAAAAAAATTATTAATATTATTGCGTAGCGACAGCTAAACAATGTTGACGTCGAATTTACAATTTCAATTTAACAAGTGCGGTCTACGCACCAGCCGGAGCTGTTCGAATTAAACACTCGTATCTTTTAACCGAATTTTCCGAACTTTTAAACTACTGTTCGTTTGTGTTTTTTTACAAAGTAGAAAATATTTTTTTTTTTTTTAATTATTATTGAAAATATAATTTACGGAGAATTTTCGTTTGTTTGTTGTTATTACCTAATATCGTACAACAATTGACATAAACAGTTTAGGTTTTCACGTCTTTTTCGACTTCGTAAGTAGGCCACAAAAATTGGACTCACTTTTACTGCGTTATCAATATACCAAATGATTCATTTAAGTGGGCACACTAATTAACTCGGAAAGTATTAACTTTTTCTAGAATTTGTTTTCTAGACCGTTTAAGAAACGAGCTGCTCCACAATTTTATATCCGTGTTATGTTTCGTCACCTTTATTTTGGCGGGTAAAACAACTACCTAATTTTGATTTTCAAATACGTTTTAAAAAGTCCATAAATATATTGAGTATTAGTTAAAATAAATTTTAGCGTTGAAATGTTTTATTTCCGTCGATCCATTAACGGGATATTCCACTTTTAAGTTTTGGGTTGGAGGAGAGTAGTAGGGTATCATTAGTGTGGCGGTGCATACGTCTTGTAGAGCATTGAAATGAGCTATTAAACGAAATAAAAACTGTTTGCGTCCGATTGAAACTGTAGTATATACACAAAATATGTTCACCTTATACGTAAAAACCATTGATGCATACCGCAATTATATACATAACATTATCTAGACGGTGCGTTCTCATCAATCCCGTCAGTCGGGAGAAGGGGTGGCGTGGTCATCGAAAAAGACAGACCGATAAGTGACTAAAGTTTAAAAGACAGTGACTCTGATGCCGGGTACAACTAATTAAAACACTCGGTATTTCTTTCATTTGAGTTCCCGCGGAATGATACGCCCACTCTAACCTGTCATGCTGCCACTCCATCTCGTTCAAGTTATAGATCCTGTTGGTCGCCCATCGACTCGCGCAATAAAGTGTGGGGAACTGAATGCACCAGTCCACGAGAAGTCTGACACGGAGCTTTCCGCGCGGAACGATAATTCACTAGTGTAATTCCGTAATTCAGCAATTTCTCATACCGTCGCGCCGAACGCCAGCGGTCCAGGAAACCAGCTAGTCCGGTGGATTTGAATCAATTGTACGTTTTTTTCGACTACCCTACCGCAGAGAAATGCCCCGATAGGCGAAACCGCAGTATTTACAACCGTCGTTTAGACGGTTTTCTCGTCGATCCGTTCCGCGCAAACGATCGTACAGGACGAGCCGCGAATGATTCGGCCTCGACACTGCCAGCCGACGTTAATTTAAATACTTTATCAACTGTAAACCCGTCGTCACGCGGTGCGTATTACCGTACGTACGAGGGCACAGCACGATACGGGGCCGGACCGTGTTGTTTCGAAACGGGGGTTTTGTATCGTATGGCGCCCGCCCGGCGCATCCCCCGCGCTCGGCCCTGCACGTTTTCGGCCCCACTGCGCCGTCGCGTGCGCGTACACATGCCGGCCGGTTCACCGTGTCTCGCGGATAATAAATGCCCTCCCGCCCGTTTGTTTCGCAGAAAGGTCCGTACGTAATAATGCGTGCGTGCGCGTGAAAAACCGCGAGATTTTATATTTCCGCGGCGGAAACGAATTGGTCGCTGTCATGCGGTCGCGCGTGCGCCAACGCGTTCGTCCGATTCATCCGATACAGCGCGACGGCGGTGGCGGCCAACGCACGTCGTGCGTATAATATTACAACACGGCCCGTGACGGAAACGGCACATTTAATGTTATTCCCGTCGCCGTACCGTTGTCCCGGGCGTGTGGCGACGGCGCGTACATTTCACGTTGTTGTCGGACCGCCGCGGCGGTACCGGTGGCCGGGCGCGCGAAAGTTTCTAACCCGTCCATCCACGTCGCCGCGCGCTTCGAACAGTGCGTGTTGGAGTCGCCCGCGTGACGGGCGCACACGGGAAAACGTGTCGCAGCGGTCAACGCCGAGAAAAACCACCCGGGGATCGATCGCGCGGCGCGTGACGCGCGTTTCGCCGGAATTCGGCACGCGTTTACGGCGGGAGGAATAAAAAAAAAAATAAAGAGTTCACTGCGATTCCTACAACAGAAACCCTCGGAAAATATGGCGCGGTTCAAAAGTGTCCGTCTGATTGCGGACGGAACGGGCGACAGTCAATCGCGGATCGTCTAGAAATACTAGGGACCGAAATTTTCGGGGGGGGGGGGGAAAAAACCCNTTTTTTTTTTTTGAAAAAATTTCCCCCCCCCCCCCGAAAAAATCGATGAATAATATTTAAATTACTTGTTCGGCAGTTGTTCAACGGTAGTGCACTTCCCGAGACAAGGCGAACGTCGCGAAAACAAAAAAATGCTATCCGTTTTAGGACTTTGAACTTCAGTTCCCGTTTGTTTTCGTTTGTTACAGGCGTGCAGTTCGTGCGGGATTGCCCGCGGGAACCGCACATACCGGTGTACATGATCGTGGGCGGCATATTCGGCATGATCAAAATGGTGTGGCTGCTGTGCCGGCAGATCAAGTCGCTCCGGTACAACAAGCGCAGGCGGCCGGACATGGGCACCCGCGAGGACATGGTGTCGTCGATGGGCTCGCGCATAGCGTCCGTCGCGCTCTCGGCGTTCCTGGTCGGCTGGTTCGCGCTGGGCAACTACTGGATACTGTCCGTCTACTGGCCCGACTCGGAACCGTCGTCGCTGTACGAGCCGAACGGCTGGTGCAACCGGACACTGTACGTCACCAGCCTCGTGCACCTGGTTCTGGTGTACGCGGTTACGGCCGTCGTGCTCGGCGCCGTGGTGGCCGTGCTGGTGTTCCAGCAGTGCGCATTCCGGTTCAAATAGCATACGGCCACCACGGCGCTGTGCGGTTGCGCGCACGGCCATCTCGGCAGCCGTCGGATGACCATAACCAGCATACTGCCGTACAGCACCATACACATCAGCGTCACCCATCCCGCGGACGACGAAGACAGGCGGGACGGCGGCAGCGACGTGGCCCTGTGATCGACCGGGTCCCGGTCGGTACGCGTACATTAACTGTCCTAATCCCACGATAATAATAATAATAATAATAACATTTAACCGTCGAATACGTCGTCGTAGTGTCCAGAGTGTAATGTTATGACGTTCGGATCGAGTAATCTCGAACGAGGACACGGCCTAACCGCGGTCTTCTTTGACAGTATTCAATTATTTTACGGTAGAGCGCGTAGATTAACGGGTGCTAATAACCATTTTGGCGACTTTCGCGTTATCACAGCGTTACTCACGCCGAACAAAATAACGCTTGAATGTTGAAATTATGAGTTTTTCGTGCCTAAGCGAGAATATTATATTCTCAAAAAAAAAAAAAAAAATTATAATAATAGTAATAATAAAAGAAATAAAAAATAAAAATAGATTATTGCCTCGATTCCGAAACGAATTCCACAAAAGATAATTCTTTAAAAGTGTATAAGTTGATATAAGCAAATATGTTAATGAAACTCCGATGAAATTCATCTGAAATAATATCTCAAAATGTATCCATCCGTGGCGTTTTCGATTCGGAGTGCTATTGGAAAATAAAAAGCGGATAAAGCGATAAAGCGAAATAGACAGTAACAGTTACAACATTTTCGAACCGCTCGTTTCTTAAGTTTTTCAAACACAAATTCCGAAAAAAAAAAAAACAAAAGGATTACGGATATCGGGGACGTAGTGTCGTATCCCGGAAATAATTCGGAGCGGTACTAACCGTTCATGCTATTTACGATGCAATCTATTATTTTTCGGAGCGATTAAGTGCACAGCGAAATGACCTAAACATTTTCTGAGGGGGGAGAGAACGGAGCAGTACTTGTCTAAACGCGACGTCGAAAATACCGCACAGGCATTGCGGACGTAATTAGAACGATCGAAAATTCCCCTTAAAGGCCACAATTACCGAAAGCCTGAAAATATCGTTGATAATTAACACCGTTAACACCGCGTCTGTTTACCGTACACAGTGCAATAGTAGTAGTGTGTCATCTGACACAGCGCGCGCCCTTGAAAATCAAAGTGTGTACTGAGTTTTATAATGCGTGCATTAGTTTTGATTGTAGAAACAACGGCTGTTTGGAATTTCAACGTAAATATGTTTTAATCGTTTTTATCGCAATTCAACGAGCAGCTTGTTTGTACCATAATCCCGTACAAATATGATATAGACGTTAACCACAGTTAATTTCACGTTGTAATTTATTAAATACCACTCTGACCACCTTGCACAGTTAAAGACTGTTTATTCGTAAACATAGACACGTCATCGGTATCGAAATATAATCCATAGGCCACGTATTGGCATGGTTAAAAACCACATCGCGGAAAGGTACACGAGAAAACTACCCCCCCCCCCCCCCCCTCCTCCCCCTTAAATTGGTAACAAGGGTTTCTTCCTAAAGCAAAAGCCGACGAAACGCAATCGACTAACGATCTCACTTTATCCAATAAACGCGTTATTCATTTTAAATTGTTTTATGTCAGTGGCGTTTGTTTGAACGCACGTTAAAAAAACCAAATGGAAAAAATAAAGCCCAGTGTAGAAAATTAATAGTTACATATTTTTTGTCACAATGGCATTATAGTTATAAAAAAAACTACAAAATATTATTACTTGCTTTTTTTCCCTCCCAAACCGCTTCTGCGCCCCGGGGGAAAGGCTAGTATATATTAGATGGACCGGCATAACGCAAAACGGCGATAACACCACGAATTTAAAACGGATAAATAATTTGGAACTCCGAAAATGTCATTGGGGTTTAAAAGACGGGCGAGCATAATATTGTTATAGATGAAACGCCGGAGTATAATTTTCCCGTGACGGTCTTCGCGGTTTTTCATGAAAAAAAAAAAAAAAATCGAAAGCTTTTATTCGCCGAATAACTGGTTTTTGGTTCAAAAATTCTCGTCATTCCGTTATATTGCGATATAACAGTCCACCCGAATTTTGTTTCGAGATTTTTTTTTTTCTTTTTCCAATATATATTAATAATCAATTATGTCTCCGTAACAATAAAACGCATTTGCCTAGACATAAAATAGTTTATTTTACGTTATGAGACGTTTATAGCGTGTCGCTCTACACCTCCGAGAAACGTTTCTCCCTAGTACACGGCCCCGGACGAGGGGGTAACCGATGCGCATACAACCATTCCGCGCACGAAATAAAACACAAGTAATATTTTACTCGGTTCGTACAATACCGCGAGTGCCGTTAATTAGATTGCGTTTTCCATTTGGCTGTTTGTACCGTGTACACCAGCGGACGTCCACTTGGGAGGCGCAAGACGGGACGTTCGTCCCCCTGAAAAAATAATACGAACAATAATAGTCCGGATAAATTTAAATAAAAAAAAACCTTTGTTAGCGTACGTTTTGAGAATTCCGTTTGTTTCGCGCTCCTCCTCCCCTCGAACTATCCTCTTCGAGCGCCCGCGCGCACACTTCACACAATCTGCAGTAATGTCGCGCTATACGAATGCGCCTAATAATATGATGATTTATGAAGTGGTACGTCATATTGCCGTAATACATCGTTAACTTGATAACAGTTATCGAATTGACGTACTGATCGCACGCAAAACGTTTATCGAATATAATTCCATACCGTAAAAAGGAGATTAAACTACACGGGCCCTATGGAGAATATTCTCGTGCATTGACGATGGCAAACGACAGGGAAGTGACGAACATCATTAACGGAAAGCATACATTTTATTATCCACCACGTCCGCTTCATAAAATACCGACCGTCCCTTGTATTTGCGTTCGGTTCAGTCGATCGCAGTACACAATTTTTTCGGAGGATTTTTTTTACGCTCACACCCGTGCTACCAACTCAGTTACTCAGTACTAACTTTCATGGAGCAATATCCGGTTTTAGTCAATCAGGCAGACTAGGTTTCCGTACAAGGTTTTCGACTAGGTATGCGTGCATATCGGGTGTAGCATAACGAGTGACGGGTGCGGAACGGGTATGTGCAATCGGTGTACCTCATTTAATTCGCGTAGACCATAACCGGGCAGGTTGTGCAACTTAAAATAATTATATTACCGACATAATTCTCCGTGTAGCTACATTAAAACGTGTCCGTGTATATGAAAAGTGCATTAGTCTCTCTCGCCCGTCATGGACGATAACAGCCGTTGTTATACCGCGTTGTTTTTATTGCCACGTTCGTATTTTGACTATCGCCGTTTCGCATCCGTTCTAAAAATGTATAATCCTTAAAACAAGTACTTACGGTCCACCCCCCCCACCGCCCCCCCTCCCCGAGTTAAGCGTATAAAACGACGACGACGTGGATGTTCGTTGAGCACAACGAAACAAGATATTATTAATTATTATCTCGCAAGCCTTTTAAAAATCTGACGCCCAGTCCGTCAAAACGACACTGTTTGCAAAAACAAAATATGGGGGTTGAAAGTGGAAACTACCAAACGTCGATAATTATACCACGCATATACACAATTTTATTTCTCTAGCTACATTTGGGGAGATCTGTTTGGAGGGTAGCCTTATACATCCGTACAGAAACAAATAAAAAAATTCTTCTCCCGCTACATCGTGGTAAAGTTCATCTGACATTTTCACACTTCGTCCGCCTATAAAGAAAACTTAATTCCCGAGTCTGGACTCGTTTGGTCAAGAGTGTCAATGCCAAGTGGCCAAAAGTATCGAAAAACAAAATATGTGATAGAACAGGAACAATACAGGCGCAATAGTCTATTTTTAGAGAAAATTCCACAAAGATTCTGAAAATCGATTACGTTTGTGATTTTTCAGACCATTTGTGAACTGCGGTTAATCGGAAAAGTTTCAGACACTTTATGGAACAATGATATCAGTTATTAAATTAATAATAATAATAATAATAGTTTTTAATGTATATTTTAATAGTTGTGTGACGAATAAACCTAATCTTATCAGTATGTTATGCTTAGATCTATGATATTATGTCGGGCACGGAGAACATATGAAATCAATCGCAAATTGTTGATTCTATACCGTCACGTATAATATTCGTGGCGTGAACAAATATTTCGCGGCTTGATAGGTTTTACAATTTTTCCGCTCTTAATAATATGATACGATATGATAATATGATAATATGAATTGTCGATTCGATACTGTCGACTATAATAATTGTTTAATATTATATAATATCGATAATACGTGACGCGGCCTAATAATAATTATAATGTTTCACCTCTTTGATAAGACTTAACTATTAAAACTTTTAAAACTAAAATAAAAAAAAATACGTTCGAAACTGTTTTTAAGTAGCAAAGGGACTAAGGGAGGCGCCGGTCTTCATGCGCCCTCCCGTTCCCTATGCATACAGTCCGGGTCTTTTTTGACGATACCGTCGAGTTCCGTGTATTACCTGCTCGTATACCCCAGGGTAACCGTTTATTATCATATAACAGTAATAATAATATTGCAGTTAGTACCGTATAAATATAATATATTACGTTTTTTTTTTTTTTTTATAGTACCTATATAATATGCCGGGTAATAATGTAGTGCATTTAAAAAAAAAAAAAAAAAAAAAAACTGCAAGGAACGCCAATTTTAATGTTTATAACACCATTATATAGTTGTAATAATTTTGACCGTCACAATTTTTAGGAAATGCAAAACGAGTCGATTGCGAAATTTTTGAAACGGAAACTGTTTTACCACAATCGAAACGTAACGGAATGTAAATAAAACCTTATCTAAACTTATGTAAATAATGAAAAAAAAAAAAAAAAAAAAAAATAGATAAAAATCGGTAACGCGAACAAAACAAAAATATGTTATTATACAATAAAAACTAACAAAACCGATGCAATTAATATCTAGATAAAAAATATTTCAAATAGGCGCTATCTCCGTTTTAAACGTACTTTCCGGCGATTTTATTCGCAGTCGTAATTCGCCTGAAATCAGTAACAAACGTCATGATATCGCGGCGGAATAAATTTTTTTATTTTTTACGAAAGTCCAGGTGTAGGTTCGATCAGATATTAATTTTTTCCGCAAACGTAAATTATATTCAATACAGACGAAACGTGGGGCCCGAAGACCTTGCGAGGCGCAGTCGTGCCAAAAGGACCAACCGTCGTAGTAGACTAAGGCCGGCTAGGAAACAACATCCTTACCCCGAGGATATCCCAAACGCTCCGTCTAGTTTGTTATTCAGTCTATAGTCCTCGAGCCACTGGCACGCGCTACCGTACTGAATATCCTGCAGTGTCCAGTAAATACTCTGGTTGCATACGGAATTCTACGAATACCTACAGCTAAAACAACTAGATGGCCGGGCCCTATGATAATATTGAGTCTCGTAAAAGACAATACGGCGAGATGATACGAAGTCAGCAGCCGTATACGGTGAGGGCAAACGATTAACCCCATAAAATGTTCGTTTACCCCGTGAATTATGTTACGCGTGTATGAATTGTGTACAGTATAGACGCATATATGTGCGATTAATTTCAATTATTTGTCCACGTAATTACATACATTTATCACACGCCTAACCCGTGACATGAATGAATATTTAATGGGTTAATCAATACAATTTGCCGTATTGCTGGTGTATGGCGGTCGGTAGAGGTTGTTTGTTGTTTCGGCGGGAGCGAAAATGCGACGCGGAACATAAGAAATCTTTTTCAGAAGTCGACACTATAATAAATATACACCTAGGAGGTATACGCCATATCCATAGCCATCGTCTTTTCGTTCGACTAATCTCTTCGTCGGCTCATAGCTTGTCACAGAGTTAATATCTTCCTCGAGCTGCCTTTGAACGTGCCCTTCTTTATTTTGTCATTTTCGCCATCCCCCTCCCCCTTCCCCTCCCCCCCGTAATGTTTAATCCATTTTACCGCGTAACGTGTCCAATAAATGTTGTCCTTCACGTATCGATCGTTATAACGATTTGTTTCGGCTCTCGTACCGTGTTTGTAATATGTTTACATTAGTTTACCTTTCCGTTCAGCTCGCAGTCTTCATCGGCTACGCCACGTCCGCGATTCCAACGTTTCTCTGTTCGTTCAACGCAGTCCACGACTCACTTCGGTGTAGCGTCACGCACCTCAAACCGAACGTTTTAACGAACGACTTTTAGGCTCTAACAATATTGGCGTGCGTTCGTCTGTTAATCGATTTTGTATCTATAAAAAAAAAAAATAAATAAATAAATAAAACGCTTACTTTGCTAATGAAATGTGGTTTTTTTTTTTTTATACCTATATACCGGGTGTAAATTATATAATACGAATTTGACCAGTAACGATATTCCCCGCCATTTAAACGTACGTAATTGCACTGTCCCTTATATCCGGGAACACTGACGTGGTTTAAACCGGGATTGAAAATCCAATTTTCAAAACATTCCGCTATCGGTTAATACCGATACCGGTATTATTTCGCGTTATCTATATACGCCTTTGGGAAGTCGGGTTCCGTGATGTATCTCCGGGCCGGAGCTGCAGGAGACGTGACAATGATTTTATTTATTTGCAGCGTTAAAGTTTGCAATTAACTTGAACGCCCTTCGCTTTTCCCCGTAGGCGTTAGTCACACCACACTAACAATAAAATATCGTCCGGACGCGTAAACCGCTCTAAATCCTTCTTCTCCGCCTCCGTTGCCGCCTTGTTTTCGGTGTTTTTAACAATTCGTTTCAATTTTCTCTCTAGAGGGTCTCCGTTGCGTTCGCGACGATGTTTACATACAAGTGTCGTGCCTCCGCCTCCAGGGCGATATGCGGAAATAATAGAAACGAATCGGTGCCGTATAAAACGGCGCGTATACCCGAAAAAGCGGAGAAAAAAAAAACAACAAACAAACTACGCAGGTACATTGAAAACCAATCGCGGCGTAATAGCAATATAAGATAAACTTCGCGATTTGAAACCCATATACCCGTGCCGTTTTTTGTTATCCCGTTTTATTTAACGATGATAATATTTTCACGGTATTTCCGCGCATTATCTCTCCCGAAAATTCGATTTTATTCCTTATTACGATGAAAAAAAAAAAAAAAAAAAATAAAAAATATCAATTATTTTAAATATTATATCACCTTGAACTATCAATTAATGCCTTAAATTTCATTATTATTATTATTTTAAATGATATCGTAATATAGATTAAATCATGTTACGTACGCAGGGACCAAAATATTGGAAATTATAATTCTACGGATTTTGTATAGAATATACCTATTGTATTATTGTTTTATAAAAAAGCAAAAAAAAAAAAAAAAAAAAAAAAAA